GGTGAGGGTGGGGGCTCCGCTGCTCTGGCAACGCCCACGCGGCGTCAGCCTCTCTGGCGAAAGTTGGCCGGCCCTGTTGGGTTCGTCGACTCCTCGTGGCGCTGCCCTGCCCTGCCAGAGGTGTCTGGGTGTCAAGGCATGCACAAGTGCAGTACAGGCCACGTTTCTGGGAGGCACGATCCACCGTGGAGTGCTTCAGCATGGTGTACTTGAGGCTCTGCCTGAACCGGGGAAACCTCTGGAGCAGAGAGACGCAGGGCCTGGTGTGGCCTCTCCAACCCTCCTCGCACTGACCCCCTGGGAACTGTCTCCTGACGGGCAGGATTGCACTTGGTGCGATTCCCAGGACCTGTTGAGCCAGGCAGTAGGGACAAAGGCTGGGCCTTGCTGCCTGGGTGATGCGACTCTGGTGGCTGTGACATCACAGGGAACAGATCACAATGGGAGCTGTCCTAAGGGACATCACCAGGCAGCCCCACTGCAGTTTGACTTGGATGATGCATGCAGGGGGAAGGCTGGGCTGGATGGGGGACAGGGCAGATACCCAGGGGGTTTCTAACCCAGAGCAAGGGCCAAGCCCCTCAGGGCAGGGCACGGTTCCATGCTCACGGTTGGGGGCAGGGTTGGTCGCATCTCCCAGTGGTAGCAGGTGCCCAGAGAGGCTTTGGGGATGTGCCGGGTGCCCTTGGCTCCATGGGACGATGTTCTGTGGCAGGGATGGGGCCTCAGGAGACTCGGGCTTCCCTTGCCCTTTCATGGGGCACAGCCCTGTCAGGGGCTGGCCATCAGGGCGGCTTGGGCAGGATGGGCCTCACGCTGTCTCCAGCCAGGGTATGCAGCCCCTTCAAGCCTGTTGACACCAGTGCCCAAGCGCTTTCCTGGGACGGTCCGTGGCTCCCATCCATGTAGTGCTCACAAACCCTGCCCTTGCTCCCTCTCACCTCCCTCAGCCCCTCTCTTACCAACCCCAGCTTCAGACGGCTCCTGCCCACCTCCCCTAGCCCCGCGCTCCCTGCCATCCAGCCCTGCTAATCCCCCTTTTCTCCTGCCTCCTCCAGGCCATGGCTGTGGCAATCACCTTCATCCTGGCTGTGCTGGCTGTCGAGCATGCACTGAAGGGTGATCCGCAGATAGATGTGGCCACGGCCCATCGGATGCAGGAGCGTGAGGATCATCTGTGTCAGGAGATGACTCGGCTGCTGCAGGAGGTTGAGCAGATTGAACAGAAAGGCAAGCTTCTTTCTGTGTTGAAGCTGTGGGAGCTTTGGGCCACTATAGGAGCTGCGGTCCTGGTTCCCCCCTTCCTCATGGTCCGGGATATTTGGCTTGACTTGGACAGCGGCAGTGAGCAGGACAGCTCCAGCAGTGATGAAGCGGACGACGATGAGGAGGAAGACCTCAACAGTGCCTACAGTGGTGTCAGGTCTTTGGCTGCGTCCACCCCATCGTCAATGGAGGGCCTGCCCGACATGTGCAAAGTGCTGAAGGAGGTGGTGGGTGACCTCCTTGCTGTCTGCCGAGTGCTTTCCAAGAAGGATTTCATGCCGCAGATGCACCCGGCCCTTGGGATGGACAGCACCTATGAAGACTGGAGAGTCCACGAGAACAGCATCACCTACCGCCTGCTCGTGTTGCTGCAGCCACCCCCTGGGCACTCTTTCAGCGCAGAGCTGGAGTCCACGGGGCAGCTGCCAGCCAGGACCTCCAGCATCCGTGTGGTGCTGGAGTGCATGTGCTCGAGGGAGCAGCTGCTGGGGGCTAGGTTCTGCTTACTCCACCACCCCAACGACAAGGTGCCGACAGATCAGAGGTCCTACCTCCTAAGCACCCTCTGCACCAGCTCCGACTTAGATCGGAAGAAAATCGCCTGCTGGGTCCAATATTTGGTGGGATCTGCCTGGCCGATTTTGCCTCAGTCGCACCACTGCCAGCTAACGGTGCTGCCCTCCTCCCGATCGTGCAGGTTCCAGCTGACAAGCACCTCCTTGATGAACATCTTCACTGAGATGATTTTTGCAGTGCAGCAGGACAGCTCAGACTCCTACCTGAACCTTGAGTAGAGGCCAGCTTTACCAGCAGCACACCGTGGCTGCAGATCGGTGCTGTGGTCGAGATGCTGCTTCTCTCACTCACAGTGAGGCACACCCAGCAGGACAACTGGCACCTCAGAGCTCTTTAGCTTTGCACCCATACCCTTGTGGTCACAGGCTTTTCCACTCAGGCCTCTGACCCTCAGGACCTACTTTCCTCTCCCACTGGTGGGACCATGGGTACAATTCTGGACACTGGGACAGAGAATCTGCTCATCCCACGGACTGCCTGTGGAGTCTGTGCTACAGAGCTGAGCAAACTAGGCATGGAGATGGCACCACTCCAGAGGAGCTCAGCATAAGTCCATGAGACCTGACGAGATCCATGCACAGGTCCTGAGAGAACTGGCAGATGAAGTTGCCCAATGACTATCAACCCAACAGCTAGTCCAACCCCCCTGCAGTGAAAAGGGACCTCTTTAACTAGATCAGGTCACCCAGAGCCTCATCAAGCCTGGCCTCAAATGTTTCTAGGGATGAGGCCGCCACCACGTCATTAGGCAGGACAATTTCCACTTCACAGCTCTGCACCCATCCTGTTGGAAAGAGCTGATGATCTCTGTGACTTTGATGCGTTGTTATGAGGGCAATATATTAGCTTGTTTTAACCAGCCCTCTGTCTGTGAGTGTCTGTGCAACTTTTTGTTGGGAAATGTTGCTACCTGCTCAGATGCCGAAGCAGCAAGGCGGCATTTTGAGGCAAGTAAGTGGTACCAAAACAGAGTGCCTCCTCTGACTCTTTTTTTCCCTTCTTTTCCACTTTTCTACTCTGCTTCAGTTTTAAAGGGAAGACGCCTCTGTGCATGTATACCTGGCGGGAGGCAGTGAGGGCGAGGGAGCCAGGCTTTTCTCAGTGGCTACCACTGACAGAGCAAGAACCAATGAGCACAAATGAAAACACATGAAAATCCATCTGAGCACAGGAAAGTCTGTCCTTACTCTGAGGGTGCTCAAACTTGGTGGAATGAGTCCCACCTTTGGGGTGCCGGGATGGAGGGCTACATGCTGCTCTAGAGGGATAGGCAGGGCTGGCGGGTTGGAGGTGGTGTGCTATATGCAAGGGAGAGGTTTGATTGCACCACCCTTACTGTTAGTGATGATGTTGTTTAGAGCATCTGGGTGAGGTTTAGGGTGATGGAAAACAAAGGAGATATTGTAGTGTGTGTCTACTGCCAATTGCCAAGCCAGCATTTTAGCACTGACGAATTACTTCACAGACAATTAGTAGAAATTTCTGGATTGGTAGCCCTTGCCTTTATGGGAGATTTGAAATTCCCAGACATCTACTGGGATGAGCAGGTCTTGACAATTCTTGAAGTCTGTAGGAGATAACATCTTGTCAGAGATACTCAGTGAGCCAACTTGGAAAGATGCCATCCTGTTCAGGAAGAGAGGAGGAGTCATGAGAGATATCATGGTAGGTGGCTAT